ATCATCCTCAAGCTGATGGTAACTGCTTAGTTGACACTTGGCAAACATATATAGCTGATATTCTACATAATCACTAAATGGTACTCAAGAAATGAAAATGATAAACTAAGTTTTGTAGTAATGACTTTAGATTAAAAGGACAAAAGACGTATTTTTTTTAACACTTACAATGTAGTACAATGGTGGTTTGTCATGCTATGTTGAAATTGCGTAAAAAATATGTAGTGTGACTATCAATTGAGAAAATATTCATTAATTTGAGAGACTGCTGGTGACATAGTATTGAATTTGAAATTAAATTGAAGTTCAATGACCCAAAATTTTAGACAAAAAAATTTTGTGTGACTTAATTGAGATTTTATGGAAAGTTTAATGAACATTTGGATTGCATATCCAACATTTTAGACAGATAAAATTAGAATCGATTTCTAAAACGGTCAAAGGTTCAAGTGTTTAATTGATATCAAATCGAGGTTGCAACAGTAGTGAGAAAATATACAGAAAAAGCTATACGTACAGGGCATGTTGCCCTGTATGTATAGACCAGGCCAAATATACAAAAGATAAAGGTGAAATGACCAGACTTGTTTTGACGAGTTGCAATTTTTCACTTTAATCGATCTGGTTTCTAGACTGGTTCGTAGTTTTTCCCATTGAACCAGCATATTTGGTCCGACTTTACTATGATGCATATATTTTTAGGGTCAAAATGATTTTTATTGTTTCACAAAAGTCATCTAACTACTTTTTGTTTCAATTATTCACTGAATTTTAATTCTTGTTTTAGCTTATATACAGTTTTTCTAAGTATTTTTCGAAAGTTATGAAACTCCATATTTACATAAGTGGTCTAAAAAATATGTTAATGCATTAATATCGTCATGTAGACGGCCAAAAGAATATTGATTTTTAAAGATCATGTTTTGTACTTTTAGAATAATTTGTATTTTCCCCTCTATATAATATAAATAATGCATTAATGAACTTTATAAGCTGCATCTATCATTTTTGAATTAAGAGTCAGCAATTTGAGTGCTAGATTTGTCATGATTTTAAGTGTTGCTGAGGATTTTATGAAATTTGTGAATAATATATTTGAGTAACAATCTGATAAAAATTATGTTCGGTCAATTTAAAATAAAAAAATCGGACTTTGCCGAACTTGCACCTAGTACTATAAAAAAAATAATAAAATAAAAAAGATAGACAAGTGCCTAAATGAACGCTAAAATGAAGATTCCATACTATAACATCTCTCGGTAGTTGTGTTTTTAAGTAAATACATTTTCCTTGATCAAACATACCTAATTGATCTTTCATATAGTTGCTACTTGACACTCTAGAAACGAAAATAGTGAAACAAAATGTAGCAATGACTTTATAGAAAAAGGTTTCAAGAAGCGTTTTTTCTTTTCTTTTCTTCTTTTTTTTTTTAAAAAAAAATAATAATAACAACAACACTTCTAATATATGGTATAGTGATAAGTTGTCATGTCATACAAAGAATACGTTGGAATTTGATGTGGTCTGATTGTCACTTGAGAAATTTTCATCAATTTCTAGATGGCATGTAACATAGTGGTGAATTTTGAACTAAATTGAAGTTCAATGATTCAATTAAGATAAATTAAAGTTTAGTGACTCAATTTATATTTTATTGAAAGTTTAATGATCACCAGTGTATTTAACCACTGAAGATTGCGAGTGAAACTTCGGCTGCCAAAAAATACATTCACCAATATATTGAAGCATTATGGACATCGATCCGAAAATGGTAATTCGTCTGGGTTAAAGAGTCTAATTAAAACCAAACACTGGTTAAAAAATATACAGAAAAAGGGGTGAACTCGAATTGACTTGTTTTGACTATTTAGAATTTTCTTTACTTGTAATTATTTACTCCCGTTCTCCAACCTACAGTGAAAAATTTTATTTTATCCATTTTAAAGAGAATCTTATTTAGGATTTTCATATTTGGAAAGAACTGTAGATGAAGTTCTCGTACAACATCAGTAAGTGGAAAGTCTTGATTTTTTTCGGTTGAAGCAGCATGTTCAATTTGACCTTAATAACTAGTTAGTGCAAAAAAATTTATCGTTTTAATTAATCGCGTAACTTTTATTTTTTGCTTTAGCTTAAGCTAAGTTCGGCTAACTCTATTTTTCTGAAGTAACGAAAGGAAAGAAGATATTGTGGCTTAAATTAGGAGTATCAATTTGCCTCGAAGATGACTCGGCTCGAAAAAAGCCCAAACTGGTCTGGCTCGTGGCATGGTAGAACCGCGTGGAGGCTGGGCCGAGCTTCATTTTGGGGCGTCTCCCATAACGAGCCGAACCTAAAAAGTAAAATAATAAAAAACTGCAAAACCTTAAAAAAAAAAAAAAGAAAGAAAGAAAGAAAAAAATTAGCTGCTAGCTGTACAAGGCAAGTTGCTGCCTTGTTAAGGTAGTT